GTGTGTGTGTGTGTGTGTGTGTGTGTGTGTGTGTGGCGGGGGGATCCATTAGACTGTATGCAGATAAGAGATAACTGTAAAGGCGAGCAGAGAGCATGGGGAGGCGCGATGATGAGAGGATGACATTAAATCCGTGCTTCCCTTGAGCTGTTATCTGGCCTGCACTTCTGTAGAGACACACTTGAAGGCTGGCAAAGGTTCAAAGTAACCTCAGGGAATCCGTTGTAAAGAAAACAACACTTCATTCAGCGACCACTGCATCCAGACAGACTGCTCACATAATTTCAGAAACAACGTTATCATTTAGTTTAAATGTTGGATGTAAAAACAATATTACAGATTGGCAATTCAAGGAAATAGAAAAGGCTAAAAATCGAATAAAATGATTCCATATTTCCTGCCCCTTTAAAATATTTTATCTGCGTATGACTCATGATTTTTTGTGTCAACCGAGCATGCATCCTAGACAAAGGTGTTTACTCATAGGGTTTGCTGTTTACTTGTGAATAAACTATTTGAAACAGGTTGAGAGTCTTGATTTCAGAAATCTGTCTTGCATTTCTGCAACTTTTGCAAAAAGCCTAGAAACTTCTTCAGGGCCGCACTGCCTTCCACAAATGTTGTTTATCATTTTAAATTCAACTATGCACAACCGTAAGTAAACAGAGATAATATGCTCATGCTATTGTTTAAAACTCCGGATTGAAAAATTATGTAATCTCCAGTTCAATTCAAAACACACAATACAGTGTGGATACAAACGCACGCACGCGCACGCACGCACGCGCGCGCGCGCACACACACACACACACACACACACACACACACACACACACACACACACACACACACACACACACACACACACACACACACACACACACACTTCTAGCTTAGTCTTAAACTAGGGTCGGTGGTCCTCACAAGGATATAAGGAGAGATAATGAATGAATATCTAATATTTGAGATTTGAAATGATCAGTGAATGAACCAGGACAGATGAAGCAGGCAGCAGCAGAGCAAAGTAAACAAGTGAAAGCACTGACTAACGACATCAAACACAAGCTGTACTTTACATTCAGCTATAGAAATCCACCACACTGGAACAGGTGCGAGGATCATTGTATAACATTAGCCTTAATACAACCCGCACACAAAGAAACCATGCACACAGGCACACACACAAAAGGACATCTATTCCCAAATTAGACCGAAGTCAAGTGACAAAGGAACTCTGGGACACACTCGCTGTATTGATGTCAAAGAGGAAACTGCTGCCCTTCGGCTAAATCCTCTGCATCACATGTGCTGCACCCTGGCATGACCAGCTCCCACCACCACTTCACCGTTCACCTACTCATTCAGTGACACTGGATCTTCAGTCTGACCTGCTAAGCATCGTCCCAGCAGAGTGCGGCACCAATAAAAAAGGAAAAAACAACATCACACAGAGGCTCTGCCTGATCAGGACAGGGTTGCATTCCTATTCAGTGACGAGACATTAATCCCTGGTCACGCCAGTGCAGGCCAGATATATAACGGGCAGCGGCAGCCATGACTAAAGATGACTCAGGACAAAGAGACATAGGACGACAGTATATGTCTTCAGAGTCAGCATTATTTTTCTGTGACACAGCTCAAAACAAAACAGGAAACAGGTTTACAGTGTTCTTGCTATGATCCCAAAATTTAAGATCCCATATTTGGGAGGGAATACAAACAGCCTGGAGGGGTCATAAAACCTTTAAAGAGTTCCTGTTGCGACAAATGAGCTCAATCCCACAAATCCTTTCAGAAAACGACTTATTTCATAATTTGGTTTCAAACCCAAAATGAAATCAACAAGTTCTTCGTGCAAAGACTAAACTCTGGCATCAGCAAGCATGGCCTAAGCTGAATGAGGGAATATCACTGATAAAAGAAATGGCCTACAACATAAATAACAATTGTAAACCTAAAAATTAATAAGTAACAAGCTGCAAAATAATCTCAAACCTTAGATTAGGTGTTAAGGAATGGATGTGAAAAAGACATCAACAGACAGCTATAATTATCATATTTTCAGTCAATGCCTGAAGTGACCATCAATACAATGTGGTCAGGAAAACTTCAACAACAGATGTGCAGTGCACCGTGTACTTCCATTATGGTCTTCCTTACTCTTTCCCCGTGCATGTGGAAGAGACACATACCAGGAAGACAACACAATGACGGAAAGTGAAGTGCAAGGTGTCAGGGGCCAGAGCGGGCCTGGCCCGGGGGTGAGAAGGTCAACGGCGTGCTCCCTGCTGAGCGCTCCCTACTTTATCAGGGCTTGCAGGATGAGCATTTGACAAACAACCAGAGATGGCTGCTCCGAGCGATTTGGCGCACAAACATGCATGTGTCTCATTTGTCTCCTTCACTCAAGGTCAGCGTGATGAGTGCAAGAAACAACACTGTCAACAAACTGACCGTAATAGCACCCTTATCCAAACACCACTTAGTGGTTGCAGAGAATTAATTTCTGCGCCAAAGCTTTTAGCTCCATCAATGAGAGCTGTGCAAACTGAGGTGGCATCTCCCCTCCATTTCCATTCTTCAACCTAGTCCCTCCTCCACTGTCACCAACACTCCTGGTTTCCCTTTACTGATCTGTTATGCAATACAGGACACATATGGTTCATTTTAGGGGTAGGTATTTTTAGACGACCATGATGAACCACAGTAAATAGAAAAATGTCTAGTCAGGCAGGACAGGAAGAGTCATCTAGCGAATATTAGAAACAGCGCTGTACACAAAATTTCAAGCTTCATAAATGCCATATGTGTAGGAAACCTAACACTAGAAAAAGAGCCTACTACAATGTGTATTTTTAGCCCAAATGTAAAGTCCAACAACCCTGCTGAATTTCCACAACATCCCTCGGGAAGATTTGTTCACTCCAGGGTGAACACTTAGTCCATTTCAAAACACAGCATAAATTCAAAACATGCAACCAGTTCACCACATGCAACTTGAAAACAGAGATGCATAAATAAAAAAAGCACCCTTTGGAGAATTGGACATTCCTACGATCAAAATCAATCTGCTGTCAGATCGGTTCAACTTGCTCACAACCTCATGCCTGGAGCTAAACCTGAAGCATCTGTGTGACGTTTAAGGCAGGCGAGGAGGTCCCAAACAATAAATGGATTTTATGATGTGT